TTTTTTTTTTTTTTTTTTTTTGAGGTTATCAATTTATAAATTCATATAATTCACATACGTTAGGCTACTTGATGATCAATGCTAAATTATCTCATTTTTGGTAATTCAAAATTTAGGTAAATAATAACACGAAATTGTGCAACACGAACTTGCACTTTTGCTTCGTTGAATGCTTCGAATCCCCTACATTCACAATATTAGTTTATTTTTAATCCAACCGGAAAAAAAAAATGTACAAGATTCAATCTATATACGAGACTTGTTTGAGTGACATCCAAGTTTTCGACCATGATCATTCACTTACTGTATAGACCACGGGACCAGTAAATCGAAGTTCATCAGATTGCATCTCTCTTTATTCTTAGATAATCTGGTAGATCAAGCTGCTTGGAGCTCCAAATTGACATTTCAGAATAGAAACTGTGCAGCTCTAAAAGCATGAACTGGTGATGAGAATAATGGTGTAATTGCTCCCCTTGCCAAAAGAGTTTCTTTTACCATAAAAAAGCTGAAATCAGGATTTAATTCATGTCTTCCTAACACCATTGTGAAAAATAAACGAATGCTTCAGCAATTGCACACATTATGCTCCTCCTATCCGGAAATGGAAGAAAAACATATTGCAATTTCACAGGTTTAGATCCAAATTCGATTACATTTATCATTACGATTTAGAAATGAGTGCTCATGCAAATGCAGACACCCAACAGCAATTCATACTCTGATTTTGCATCTTTATCCAGCTTCGAACACACTTTCCTCTCTTTTCTAATGTTTTTTTTTTCATATTTAAACAGCCATCAAAAGAAGCACTTGTCTTCCACCACAATGCAATCACAACTTAAATGCTTCAAAGTCTCTCAAACAACTCCAAAATGATCATCAGCCCATTGCAATTGCAACAGTACAACAACAATAACTTTTCATTCATATATATTTCTCTCACTTTTCCTCTCCAACATGTATCTTAATGGGATATAATTTAGAAGTAACAACCATCTTGGAAAGGGAAAAAACAGAAAGAAAAAGATAGTAACTTTTTTTTTTAATTCAGAGCTTCTATCTAACTTTCTTTCTAACTTTCATCTCCCTTTCTCTAAAGAACTCAATCCAGAGATTCGAAATCCACAATATGCTAACCGCAATCGCAGTCACAACCACGAAAACCCAAGAAACCCAAACCCACCTCGGAATTACACTATCAG